TTGACCTCCTCTATTTTCTAAATTTTATATTTGTTTTCTTTTCTTTAAATAAGTGTTCTTGATATTTAACATACATTATTTATTTAACAAGATCTAAAGTCCATCAGTACCTTTACACTCCTACAACAATTCAAGGACCTTAAAATTCTGACCTCTCCGTTTGTCATGTATCATTTGATTGTTGAAAACTTTAGTTCTGACTTACTGTAGGTCTGTCTGTATTTAGGAATTGTTAGATTGCTTTACATAATAAATTTTTACTTTGCTTATATGCCCATTTGCCAGTGCCTTTCCTCATCATTGCCTATTTCGTTTTATACCTTGCTTTTGAGGTTTTTTCCTTCTTAAAATACATTCTTTAATCATTTTTTTATCTAGAATCTATGAAGGGTAAACATTGGCATGTGGAAGATATTAATTTACTTTTCTTCTGGCTTTGCTTATGACACAAGTTGGCAGTTTTTCTAAAGTTCTTTAATTATTGAGATTTTTTCTTTTCAATCTGATTGATTTAAAGATGTTTCTTTCTTTGGTATCCTGCAGTTTCACTATGATATTTCCAAGTGTGTGTATAATTTTATGTATTCTGCTTATATTTTTTGATACTTTCTTAATCTTTTAATTCATCTGTTCTCAAACTCTCTGCTATTGTGTTTTGACTCTTGTCTCTCCCCCACCCCATTTCTCAGTTCTCTCATTCAATAATGTCTGTTGGAAGAGTCCCAAACTCATTCCAACACACTTTATGTATATACTTCTGCTGTTTTCCTTCCTTTGTCCCCTTGTGTTGTCTGTCTTCCATTTTATCAATTTTTGTGTGTGTGTGTGACAGAGTCTCACTTATTAATTCTTAGTAGAGTGCTGTGGCATCACAGCTCACAGCAACCTCCAACTCCTTGGGCTTAGGTGATTCTCTTGCCTCAGCCTCCCTAGTAGCTGGGACTACAGGTGCCCGCCACAACGCCCAGCTATTTTTTTGTTGCAGTTTGGCTGGGGCTGGATTTGAACCCACCACCCTTGGTATATGGGGCCAGCTCCCTACTCACTGAGCCACAGGCACTGCCCCCAATTTTTTTTTTTTTTTTTTTACAATTTCAAATTAATATGGGGGCACAAATTTTTAAGTTACATTGTTTTCAATTCTAAGGTAAAATTCAAGTTGCAGTTGAGCCCTTCACCCAAGGGGAGTCTGCTGAACACCCTCACATTGTGCACATTCTGTGAGATTCTTCCAATTGCCCTTCTGCCTCCCCTGTCCTCTCTTGCTCCTTCTTCCTCCCCCTTGGTAGACTATATTTGCGTTTTATCATTCATGTGGGCTTGTAGTTGTCTATATATTGGTTTCACATTAGTATTGAGTGCATTGGATCTATATTTTTTTCCATTCTTGAAATACTTTACTAAGAGGAATGTGTTTCAGCTCCATCCAGGTAAAGATAAAAGATGCAAAGTCTTCATCTTTTCTTTTGTCTGAATAGTACTCTATGGTGTATACATGTGCCACAATTTGTTAAACCATTCATGGGTTGATGGGCATCTGGTGGGTTGCTTCCCTGTCTAGGCCATTGTGAATTGATCTGCAAGAAACATTCTGGTGCAAATGTCTTTGTGGTAAAATGAGTTTTGTTCTTTTGGGTAGGTAACCTAGTAATGGATTTGTGGGATCAAATGGAAGGAAGAACAACTTTTAGTTCTTTAAGAAATTCTCCATACTTCTTTCCCATAAAGGTTATATTAGTTTGCAGTCTCACCAGCAGTGTGGAAGTGTTCCCTTCTCTCCACATCCACCCTAGCATCAGCAGCATTGGGACTTTGTGATGTGGACTAATCTCACTGGAGTTAGGTAATATCTCAGAGTAGTTTTGATTTGGATTTCTCTGATGATTAAAGAAGACGAGCATTATTTCATGTGTTTGTTAGCCATTTGTCCGTCATCTTCAGAGAATTTTCTGTTCAAGTCTCTTGCCCATCTATAGATGGCATTGCTTGCTTTTTTCTTGTTGATTAATTTAAGTTCTCTGTAGATTCTGGTTTTCAGATTCATAACATGCAAAAATCTTCTCTCATTCCAAAGGTTGTTTGTTTACTTTAGTTGTGGTACTCTTAGCTGTGTAGAAACATTTTAGCTTGATCAAACTATTTATTTTTGGTGTTGCTACAATTGCCTGGAGGGTCTTCTTCATAGTATCTTTTCCTAGGCCACTATTGTCAAGCATTTGCCCCACACTCTCTTCTAGAACTTTTATTATTTCATGTCTTAAATTTAAATATTTTATCCAGTGAAAGTCAGTGGTAAGAGGTGGGGGTCCACTTTTCAGTCTTCTACATGTGGCGTCTACATGTAGTTCTCCCAGCACCATTTATTAAATAGAGATTCTTTTCCCCCAGTACATGTTTTTGTTTGGTTTGTCAAAGATCAAATAGTGATATGTGCCTAGCTTCATTTCCAAATTCTCTATTCTAGTCCATAGTTCTATCCTTCTGTTTTTGTGCAAGTACCATGCTGTTGTGATCACTTCACTTAATACAACCTAAAGTTTAGTAATGTGATGCTTCCAGATTTTTTTTGTTTGTTTCTAAGTAGTGTATTGGCTATTCAGGGTTTTTTTCTGGTTCCATATGAAATGAAGTACTATTTATTTGAGTTCTTTAAAGTGTGATACATTGGTTGGTACATTAATGGGAATTGCATTAAGTCTGTAGATTGCTTTTTTAGTATGGACATTTTAATGATGTTTAATCTTCCCAGCTACAAGCATGGTATATTCTTCCATTTGTTAATGTCTTCTGCTATTTCTTTCCTCAGGGTTTCATAGTTCTGTTTATAGAGATATTTCATATCCTTTGGTAGATATATTCCCAGATATTTCATTTTCTTTGGAGCTACTGTAAAAGGTATAAAGTCTTAGATTTTATTCTCAGAATGAACAGTCATTATTGACTGTTACTGGAATATATGATTACTACTCATTTGTGGGCGCTGATTTTGTATCCTGAGACACTGCAATATTCCTTGATCACTTCTAAGAGCTTTGTAGTTGAGTCCCTGGGCTTTTCCAGGTATAAGATCATGTCATCCACAAAGAGAGTTTGACCATTTCTGTTCCCATTTATACCCTTGATCTCCCTATCTTGCCTAATTGCAATAGCTAGGACTTCCAGCACTATGTTGAATAGCAGGAGCGACAGTGGGTATCGTTGTCTAGTTCCAGTTCAGAGTGGGAATGCTTTCAGTTTTATTCCATTAAATATGATGATCATTAACTTTTAACCCACCCTTTGAAGTTATAATTTCAATTAAATGTTATTATTATTAATTTTTTGCTGTTTACTTTCATATTCCTAGATATATAATTTTATTGTTTTCCTTATCTGTATTGATTGATTTATTGATTGATTGAGATGAGGTTTCACTCTGTCACACAGGCAGTGGCATAATCATAGTTCACTATAACCTAAGTCCTTCTATCTCAGCCTTCTTAATAGCTGGGACTACAGGCACATGCCACTATCCCCAGTTAATTTTTTTTTTTTCAGCTTTTTGGCCAGTCTGGGTTTGAACCCACCACCTCTGGTATATGGTAGCGCCCTACTCCTTGAGTCACAGGTGCTGCCCTATACCCAGCTAATTTTTTTAAAAAATTAGTTTGTAGAGATATTGTCTGTGTATGTTGCCCAAACTTGTCATATTTTAATAATCCCCTGTTCTTTTTCATATACTTTTATCACCTCTTTTTCTTTTTAAAAAACATTTTTAATACTTTAATCACTAAAATTAGTGTAGTTCTCTTATCTCTATTCTCCTGTTATACATTCTCCCATTTTGGGGCACAGTAATAGGTGTACTGTCATTCATGGGTTTTTTTATGATTAAATCATAAACACATAGATCATGTATACATTAATACATTTATGGGGTACAGTGTGCTGATTCCATATAGAATTAGGAATGCTTATATCACACTTGTTAATATATACTTCATCTTGTCCACTTAATTATTGTGTTAAGACACTTATACTCTATACTTAATAGATCTGACATGTACCCTTACATTATCCACCGTAGGTGTGATCCCACCATTCACGGTTTTGAATTTATTCCTGTGTTTATTCTTATGTTCAAGTTTGACTTTTTTGAGAATTATTTTTTGTAGTACTTTTTCTCCTATACATTTTCTCAGTTGTGGAAGCCTCCTTTTAGTGATGATTGTGTCTTCCTGAATTCTCCAGTATACACTGGCCATATACCAGTTTTTGTTGTCTGTGTATTACTATTGATTCTTCATTTTTCTCTAAATGTATTCGGCTCTATTTTGAACCTACTCTTACAGGTTTAGGATTCTAATATCATGTGGTTGATTGTTCTCCCCTCAGACTAGGAAAAGATGGAACTCCAACCCCATAAGCTCAGATACTCAGGTTTTCATGCAACAAATTTTCTTCTCCCTGCTTCATGTACTTATCTCACTTTGGCCCTTAGCCATGTAGGATCTTGGATTTAAACATCCATCCCCACTCAGGTTTCATAGTCTGAGTTCTTCTTAATACTCACCCTAATAACTGAGTTCCTTTTTACTGGTAAGGATTCTATGCCTTTATTTGGAATCCAGAGATTTATTGCCCTTGCTTTCAGTAATATGTATTAACATTTTTATCACTATTTTACCCAGCCTATTTGCGTCCAGCAACTCAGTACATGATTTTTTAAATGATATGGTCTATATTTTGAGCGTTTTACACATTTATTGAGACAAAGTTAATAGACATCACTTAATTCAAACATTTTATTTTTAAGATCCTCATTAAAAAATAAAAAAAGAGTTATAAAAGATCCTCTTTAAAATTTAATTGTAACTTTTAGGATTTGTGAATATTAATATATTTTTTGCTTTTATTTTACTATTCTCTATTTTACATGTTTTAAATATCTTTACTATCTTTGTTGCATTATTCTTTAGCTTACACATTTAATGAATTGTTTATTGCTTTAATTTTTATAGGATGAATCTTCAAGAAGAATTGGATGAACTTAAAGTACAAATATCTATTGATAAGGCAACAATACAAGAATTGAATAGGTGTATGGCAGAGAAAAAAGAAGGTAAACTTTCTGTGCAAATAAATGGTTAACATTGGAATTTTTAAAGTATCTAGTTCTTGATGTCTTTACTTTCAATTTCTTTTAATATTTTTATCCATTATCTCCCTTTCTCCCCTCTATACTAACTGATAATTCACTAACATTTTCCCTTCTTATGAGAACATCAGATAAATAGAACACCTAAAAGTTACTTTTATAATTTTTTGAAATTGTAAGGAGATGTTTGATGAAGAGAAAAGAAATTCATTTTTATTATTTATTGATAATATTTTTCTTTTTCAGTTTTATATATCATATAGCCTTATACTCAATATCAATAATTCAATTTTTTGACTTTTTTTTGAAATTATTTAGTTCTCATATATTTTCCTGGAATTTAAATCTCAGAGTTAGAAGGAGACTTGGAAATCCTCAGATCTGCAGCATCCTTAACCACTAGCCTAAAAATATTCAGTAGTGGGACTGTTTCACTGCTACACTTGCAAAAAGATTATTCTTTTGTTAAAATTAAGGTAACTATATTTACTAAACAATTGCAGTACCTCATTAGAAAAAATTAATAAGGTTGATATGATAGGACTTTTATTACTTAACCTGTTGCAACCTAATTATTACCATTGTACTTTTAGATTTTGACAATTTGTACTTAATCATATAGTCCTTATCTGGCTTTTGTCCCAGTTACTGTTGTTCCAGTTGTTGATACTTAGGTCACTGGTGACTTGTCAAGACCAAGTATATTTCAACCCTTATATTTACACCTTTAATTTTCATGATATTTCAAGCTTACTTTTTATTATTATTATTGGTTAATGTGAGGATATACACAATTAGGTTATATTTTTGCATTTCTAAGGTAAAGTTGTAGTTGAGTCTTTCACTCGGGAAGGGTACCATATACCCTTACATTGTACCTCATAGATGGGAACCAATTGACCCCCTTCCTTCGCTCTCGAATTTAATTGTGTTTTTCTCGTGTGGGCCTATAGTTGTTTTTCTACTATTTTCAGACTAGTACTGAGTATATGGGCTACTTGATTTTCCATTCTTGAGATACTTTATTTAGAATATTCTCCAAATCCATCCAAGTAAATATTAAAGATGCAAATTCTCCATCATATATCACAGTTTATTAATCCATATGCACTTGGGTTGTTTCCGCATCTTTGCAATTGTGAATTGAGCTGCTATTAACATTTTAGTTCAGCTCCTGAAACACTTGTTTTTTTTGTTTTACTTCTTATTCTTCTGTCTCTTCCATTGGAAATTCTTCTAAGACTTAATCCTTGGTCTAGTTTTTTGAAAATAATGACTATTGTTTTTAAAAAATTAAACTTTATACACATTTATAAACATTCAAGCAATAAGAATAAAAAGAAGCAAAGAAAAATTCTCAACCAGTTAAAAATAAAAATCTCTAACAATTATCATATAGCTATCTCTTGATGGGAAAGAAGCCTAGATAGACAAATTATATAAAAAGAATGCTAAAACATACTATTTTGAAAAAAAAGTTTTACATTTATTTTATTTGGAGCCAACCAAATGAAAAGAAACAAAGAAAAGGGTAAATAAACTGTTGTACTTTAGATAGATAAATGTTTATTTTATTCAAGAGGTATTAATTTCTAAAAGTTTTTCTCTAACCTTAAAAATTAAAAAATATTTAAGATGGAATTACTCTGTATTTTTTAAAGCATGTTTTAATTTTAGGGGCATTATATATTAACATCTTTATATAGTCCCAACTACTAGGAAGGCTGAAACAGTTAGATCCCTTGAGCCCAGGAGTTTAAGATTGCAATAAGTATGATAATACCACTGAACTCTTGCCTGGAGACAGAGTGAAACTTTGTCTCAAAAAAAAAAAAAATATAAAAAACAAAACAGAACAACTACTTACATAACTATTTGTGTTGTATTAGGCATTTTGAGTAATATAGCGATGATATAAGTATATAGATGGATACACATATGTTATATGCAAATGTGAGGCCATTTTATATAAGAGATTTAAGCGTCATGGATTTTGGTATCTGTTGGAGGTCCTGGAACCAGTACTCTGAGGATACCAAGAGGCAACTATGTATCACACAGCAATTCCACTCCTAGTTATATGTGCAAGAGAATTAAAAAGAATTATTTAATAGCCAAAAAGTGGGTACAATCCAGGCATCGTTACCCTTTGCATATGTAAACTTAATTGTATATATCCTCATATTAACCAATAATAATAATAATAATAAGTAACTGGGAAAAAAGCCAGATAAGGGCTATGCGAAAACTAATTATTAAGGATAGAGATATGTGTAGGAGTGGTTGACCAGAAGGACTATCGTACTTGACTAGGAAAATCTAGGTCCTTGATTCTAACTCCCTTCAGAGGCTTCAATCACTGGCCATGTATCCTGCATAGTTGGAAAGGGCAGTGTTTTTCCTTAAGACACACCAGATAAAACCTTAATCATGACCTACAGTCAGGCCTGAAAAGGCATACATAGCCTTTGCCCAAGAACTAGACCTCTCAGTCTTTACAAGTGCATGAGTATGTTCATAAAACCACTCCCTATGCTGTTCTTCACTGAACGCTGAGGGTTTGTGTATCAATCAAACAATACAAGATACAGCAAATGGGAAAACTCCTTCACAAACAATAGCAAGCATTCATTTACTGCAGGTGGGTCTGTGGCTGAAGCAGCTCTGTTACTGCAGGTTTTCTGATCTAGCTCTCTTTCAAGCTACAGATGTGATTCTTGATCACAAAGGGACAAGTGTAAACATGGAGATGGGTTTGAAATAGGCACATTGTTATGTGTACCCACATTTCTTGGGCTAAAACAAGTCACTTTAGTAAATATAGGTAGTAGCAATTCATATTATCAGTATTAGTTTATGTGGTAGATTAGGGACATATATTGGACTTTTTAGGCTCTTACACTTATTTAATCATTCTGAAAGTTGTTTATCTACCTGAAAGCATCTTCCAGGAATTGCTTTATTCCTTTCAGAGATTATTGGCAAAAGACATGACAGCCAAACCCTGAGGCCAGGTTTTAATGTCAGCATCTTAGAATGGGCCTTTATGCTGCCATTGTTCTAATGAGTACTCCTTTCATACAATGACAATTTCATTTTCTAATCCTAAAGTACTGGAACTTATGTACTTCCTTTGTCAACAGTCAGTTCCTCTATGAGCTCAGATCTTTCTTATAGTACCTAGTAGAGTACAGCCAGCAATAACTAATTCATACTATCAGCATTCTGCCTCCGCACTTTCTTACTCAGTGTAACAAGTTTACTAGGTATGTGTTTTGCCTTCCATGTTGCACCAGATGGCAGTTTACCAAATGTTTTGCCACTGTATATTATGGGTCATCAATTTCTCAGCCTCTTGTGACTTACATTTGACACTCACCCAGTCCCAATATCATGCTACATAATTTAGGTTTTTATTACTCTAACCCATTTAGAGTTAGAGTTACCAATTTCTGTATCCATCAGCTTTTCTTTGCTGAATAAACAGCCACTCACAAAATCTCAATAGCATCCAATAACATTTATTTCTTGCTCATGGGTCTGTAGATTAGTAGAGATAACTGTGCTTTCTGCTGCAGGTCTGTGGTTGGCAGGATACCTTACCTTGAGGCTGAATATTGGATTTAGGTCAGCTCCATATGTCCTAATCAGGCCAGGCTGAAGGGGTAATGATTACCTAGGCATGTTGTTTTAAATGTGAGTGTTGGAAACATACAGAGGGCAATCAAAAATACAATTTCTTGAGTTTTCGGCTCTTAACAGGCACACTATCATTTATATCAGGCGTCCTCCAACTATGGCCTGCCCGCCTAGGACATTTATCCAGCCCGCCGGGTGTTTTTGTCGCCCCTGCCTGTGCTACTTAGCAGCCAACTCGTCCTGGGGCCTGCAGTCCAGCCCTCCAGCAGTCTGAGGGACAGTGTGGCCCCCTGTTTAAGAAGTTTGAGGACCCCTGGTTTATATCCACATTCTCTCAGTTAAAGCAAATCACCTGACCAAAGTCAACATTAGTGGAGCAGGGATCTGTATTCCTTCTTTGAATATATAGAAGAGAAGAGTCAGCATTTACTGAGTAATAATCTACCATAGTGTGATATAAATGTGATATAAGCCAACAAAAGAAGGCATTTTAGGGCCATTATTATATATTGCAAGGATTTGGTTTTCTAGATGATCTGGCTCAATATAGGAATAAAGCATCTATGATGTAGTAAATGGATTACAAATTTCAGATTGTTGTTATTAAATATTACTTAAATATTACTAAGACTTACATAATATTTGGGCAGCATACAATTTGAGTTTAGAATTTCTCGGCCTGGGCGAACATTTTATGAGGAGGACACCCCGGGCAATTGAAGCAACATCAAAAATACACTATTGGGACCTGATCAAACTAAAGAGCTTCTGCACAGCCAAGAACAC